TTATTTTTTAATTATAAATTGGTTTTTTATAAACATAAGTAAAAATGAAATAATTAGTTTAGATAAATAAATAAATGTCTGAGCATGGTCTTAAATTGGCGAAAGGGTCAAAAATAAAATGGTCATTTCAAGAAGTAGTCAATTCAAGAAGAAGTCAATTCAAGAAGTGGTCATTTCGAGAAATGGTCAATTCAAGAAATGGTCAATTTCAGAAGTGGCCCTTTTTAAATGTGGTAATTTCTCATTGTGGTCCTAAGCCGAAAGGAAACAAGAACGTTATTTGAGCTGCCCAAAATGTCGAATAAACTTTTCCTATAAAATGGAAATTTAAAAAAAAATCAATATAGCGCGTATTGATCCAGGAACAGTTGGGCGGCATACATAAAGTATGAGATAGTCCTTGCCGGCGCGGATCGAGGTCGGGGCCGGAGTTACGCGCCTAACTATTCAACCCAGGGGAGGAATGTGTGCCGTCCGGATTTACGAACCCGATTTCTTGTCATTGCTTCCGCGATGTTCAAAAGTTTGCAAAAATTGTCATAGAATTTTTCTATTGCAATGCGATGCAATATTCAGAGCCACATACCTACCGACCGTTTGTTCTTATCGTGTGTCATTCACTCATTTACTTCCTTTCTGCACCGTCGCGTCGTGCGATTGTACCTATGGTTACAGTATTTTGACAAACAAAACAGAAATGCAAGCAGCTGGCAAACATGTCATGGATATTAATAGGAAGATACCTACATCTAGGGTTGAGTGCTTGGTTACTCAGCAAAGTGTTGCTTCGCTAATTTGCGCGAGAATTAAGGCTGACCAATTGACGTTGGGCTCTGTTGAGCCTCAAAGAGGTCAAAGGAGTTGATATCATCACTCCCGTCGTTACGCCTCTCGGCGTTGTTTTTTCGCTAATTAATTGCTCTGACTCCTGACCGCCGGCCGGCAGCGGCCACCGCGCGGTCACACGCCGCGCTTTGAAGGACTTCGCCGCCGACGTACGAGAGAAAACACCGCGGGCAATGAACTCAACATAAATTTCAAAATGAGCTTAATTGACTAAAGTTTGCTCTCAAGATTTAATAAAGTTTGTCTTGTAAAGTTCTGTGTGAATCATCGCAATTTGTTCATTACATTAGGACGCGTGATCGAAACGGAACTCGTTACTTTTTGTGAGTACTGTTATGAAATCGTTATTTTTAGAGTTAAAATCTCTTAGGTAAATATTTTTTTCTATTTATTATCGTATTAGGTATGTCGGTTTCGGTTTTCGTGTAGGCAGTACAGTACAGCTGTTAAATTCTCGGACTACACGCTATTTCCCTAAAGATGATGAATTCGGATTTAATTACTCCTTTAAGTGCTCCTGTTAGCGGTTTCGCCGAACTTCGCTCGCCCTCATCGTCGTAGTCGCTGGCGGGCGGCGGCTGAAGCGCGGGTCACGGTCACCCGCCCGGATAGGGCTGCCGGGATTAATGAACGTATTCGATCTTGACCTTACACAAATCTAGATCTGTTAGTTTACATCCAGAGCCCTGACTTTTGAGATTGAACAAAGTTATTGATGATTGAAATGTTTCGCTTTAAGTAAGTATTTTTATTTACTTTCGACTTGGTGTCAACTAACCCATCCTGAGAGGCTAGTCGTTTTGACCGCTGCTCTTGTCCGGTGTGGCCTAGCGGGTCACCGTCAGTCGCAAGTGTGTTAATCGCCACGTCTGTACACTCCGGGACCTTTCTGTCGCGCGTGATGATGGCCTTGGCGCGAGTGTGGGTGTGCCCATTAACTCTTATAATAACTTCATTAACGCCCCTCAACTACAAACAATTATTAAGACCCGCTTAATGCATTATTTATCGGTGTCGGGAATTTGCGGACCTATGTTTATGTTACCATGTGCTGCACAAGTCGAGACGAAGTGAAGATATTCTAGTAGGTCATTAAATGTTATTTATTATTTATATTGGATCGGACTTGTTGTTCATGACATACATCAATATGGGATACTAATAGATGGCACAGATCGAAGTTCGGCTGGTCCTTCACCTTCGCACTGACCGACTGGGAGCGTGGCCACGCGGCGCGCGGTAACTTAGACCAATACGTTTCTAAATTATGAAATTGACAGAAAAGTACTATTTATTAAGCACAACTTATCACTTGTGTTCTGTTCTTTCAATGCAGTGCCACTCAGCGCTTTAAATCGCAAAGACCTAAGGTGCACTGCCACTGCGCCCATCACACTGAGACATTTGTTGGCAAGTCCCATGTGTCTGTAATTTCACCAGCACCCTTACCCTTCAAAACCTGAACGCAGTAATGCTCACATTACTGCTTGGCGGTAGAAATAGGTAAGATGGTAGTAGGTACTTCCCTGGACGAACTCTTTAACAAGGAGCTCAACTGCTGCACAAAGCTATTGAGGAGATACTTAAAACACTTTCAAATTGAGCCGCGCTCATTTCGACGACGTGCAAGTTTCCTCCAACTCGTTTGTGAGAGGCGGCAGTCGATTGTTTTAGCGAGAAATCAGTTGTGGAGTACTTATTAGGCGAGGTGTATGAACGCGCTACTATCATTATAACGTATGTAGCGCGTCGGTGCTCGATACAAGAAGCACTGTTTCGAGGTCGCGCGTAGGCCGCTGGATACAATAGAAATACCTACCGCACAACGTTCATATTACTTAGAATTGCGTACCAGAAGCCCTGCTTAGGATTCGCAACTTTTCATATTCGCTAGATATAAATGTAGACCTTTTTGGCTATAACGGCTTTAAAGAAAATTAAAGGTGTTTTTTACAACTCATTCACATGGCCGTGTTAAACGCAATGCCATAGCGGATTCATTAAGTAGGTATGCCGCAATCGACACGTCTAGTGTTTCGTTTTTGTTTAGGGGAAAGGTGTATGAGATTATCCTCGGAGGTAAGCTGATCCTTTTCAATTGTAGCGAAACTAGTAACGTCATGTAGATATTTTCTTCAGTGAAATGAGGCTTCAATCTGCTCTCTCATCAGGCAATTCGTAATAGCGATGTGAGTGACGAGTTCATTTTTGTGGAAAAAAACAAAAATTGTGTGAGTTTGATCTAAGGTAATGTTGATTAAAAGCTTAGGCAACTTCCATTTTAAGCAATCAATTGCTAAAATTTTTGTGTTGGTGGCTTTGGATAATGCTCTATTTACTTTTTTAATGGCGTGGTAACAGTAGACAGCATACAGGTTATTTTCCCGAACAAAAAATAAAAACAAGTAAATTGGGGCAAGATGATTATGGTTTTGGTGTACGAGATGATCCGTGGGGATCATCTTGTACTGCATGTGTTGTTAACGGACTATATTTAATTTGTATGTTTCTCTGAGCACTAAAACCTCTTAATTAAATAGCTTGCAATACGAATAAAATAGTAGAAGACTGGATTTCGTTTACATGATCGATCTCGATTAATAACAAATATAAATACTTTTTCTTGTTTTAGACCAGGCCGCGTAATTGTAAAAGAAAAACCATTCCTGGTAGGTGGTCGGAAGACTATGATCTAAAGAACTCATATAAAGTAGGACGCCACATAGATCGGCAAGTAAATAGCAGTAGGTACGCGTTATGTCATTAAAAAGACGGGCTAAAGGTGAAAATAAAGGGTACGTCAGTTCAATGAAATATTTAGGTAAAAAAACTTTTCATCAGATGTGTTAAACAGGAAATCGAGCTCGTAAAGTACATTAAAGAAATGGTGACGTGGATGGATATCAACTTGCCGTAAAAAACAATATCGCCCATCCTTAGGTACCTGTAAGATATAAATTAATTAGGATTATTTGTTCTCGAAGTTCCGTAATTGTTGTTTCATATACCTACCTAGATTACATAAGTGAGGACTTTGTTAAGTTTCAAAAGTTGTTGTTTTCATTTGTTTCTAACAAAACCTAATAAAATAAGCAAGGAGATCCATGGATCATCCTGCCCATACCCTTAGAATCATCTTGGACACCCCGGTGTCCAAGACGATCCTTTAGTAGGGTTTTAAAAATATTCAATTAAGCGCTTGCGCCCGCGTCTGGCCTCTACTAAACACTACTGCTCTGGAAATCTGCTCTTGGTGTAACATGGGGTTAGAACTCTTTCAGGGGTACAGACAGAGGTTGCTGTGAGGAGAGTAGGCGATATCAACGCGCCCGTGCGCTGGCGCCGTGACAAGCGTGGGCTCCAGGGTCTACTGTAATTAGTAGTATTGTTAAACGGTGGGACAAGAAACCACGCACCGGTGCTGCTTTGCTTGTTTTAGCGGTTTAACGGCATTTAAAGTCGGGTGCTCATTAGCAAGCTGTACCTAACTGTAACGTGACAGATACAATAACGTTCTAGTGTACACGTGAAACAGTCTTTATAAAATGAGTACCTGGCTATCGATGGCTCACTGCGAACCACGTACACACTTATGATTTTTGGTAACATAACATGCAACGGTTACGGTTACAGCTAGTGAGTACCTCTAGGTCTTTCGCCTCGCTTTTGTAGGATACTTACCTATGTAAATCTATGTGCACGGGAAGTTATTGAATAGGTATTAGCTGTTTGAGTTTTATTCTTACTGGTTTTTATACCCACCATACCATATACATGCAGTATTCAACAAAACCAACACTGTTTAGTGTCTAATTACTTTCGTTACTTAGGTACTGAAAAGTGTCGCGGCGTGTAACTGCCGGATAATGTAGGCGTGCTTGCGGCAAATCTCGCAAACGGACAGTGCTTAGAGCATCTATAGTGGCCACGACTTAAACGTGTACATTTGTGGAAGGCTAATAAATGTATGTAATTACTGTTTGGCGGCAGAAATAGATAAGGTGGCTCTACGTCCTTGGACGAACGAACTCTTTCACAAGGAGCTCTACTGCTACTAAAATTGTGCAGTTATTAGTTGGCTGTTTTATATCCATTGCAATAAAATGTTTTGCATTTGATTCCCCGTGTGAGTTATAGGATGTTTGTGTTTGCAGGAAGCGGAGCTGAGCACGTGGACGGCCTTTTTGCAGCGCGCCGTTGACGCCACCTACAACACCGAAGTGGTCGTCGACAACCTGCACAACCTTATCGGTGAGCGCGCCCTTTTTTTCTACCTCCTCCTTATTTCTTTATTTATTTTATTTTTGAGGGTACAAACAGCTTGTATCACAATGTAATAGAAGCTACATTAAATCATTACAAGCAAAACAGTTTCCTATTGATAAAAATACAAAAGTAAAATAAAGTATTGACAACACTAAAAAATTAAATGACGTACGTGTGTGACAACGTCATTTAGTTTTTTAGTGACACACATACACACATGTGTGAGTGAGTGTGACGCGGTTGTGTCGCGCGAGGCCAGCTTCGCGCGAGCGCCGCAGCGTCGGCGCGCCGGCTCCAGAAGGCGTCATCACAGCAACGCTCTAGCTCGTTTCCTGTCGCATTTTGTAGTCCTTCACGAATTACATATCCGTAACCACCCCGTGGCCCGAAGTGCTGCAGTCGTAACCCGGTGGGCGTTCGTTGCAGCGGAGCAGCGGCGGTGCGTGCGGGAGGTGTCGGCGAGCGGCGCGTTCGCGTCGCTGTGCGCGCCGGAGGCCGAGGCGGCGGAGGCGCCGTCGCCCGGCGCCGCCTGCAGCACGCCGCTCGCGCACGACTAGCCCGCCCGCGCTGGCCCACCGGCCACTCGACGGTCGGGCGCGAACCAGCGGCGCGTCGCTCCCGGTGTGCTCTAAGGACCCTAACCGGCTCGCTGGAAGCGGGGCGCTCGACGTCGGGGCTATTTTCGGGTTGCATCGAGGCGGTATTGGAAGCTGGAACCGGCTCTCGTCGGACTCCGCGTGGAGGTGGTCGGTTCGCCGTTGCGATTTCGTTTTAACGCTTGGATTCTCGGAACCCGCACTTGAAGGTGTACGAGTTGGCGAGCAGCCCACTTTTCCAAGAGACTCTGACTACATGAATAAATTATTCGGATCCTACGCCCGCTGCGGCCTCATCGCGTCACTGCCTTACCGGTGTTCAATTCGCGGGACTGAACTACTATATACAGTCTTTACGATAAAATTTAGTTTTTGGGAATAATGTTTATTGTGTTGTTCTAATTTTAAATATTAATGACAAATATAAAGATAGAGATGTAAATTAATATGTATGTGTATTGAACGCACGTTGTACGTTACAAAGATTATAAATTATAACATAGCAATATTGTATTGGTGATGGTTTTGAAAATAATTTATGTAAGAGCCACCGTTCAATGTCCTGCGCTGCTCTTAGGACTGGTTACGTTGCTATAAAGATGTTTGAAAAATACGTTTTGTTATTGTGGTACGTATGCATTGTTTGTTACTAATGATCTGTACGAAGTGAAGACATCTTGTAGTCTCGAAAACTACGATGACTCGCGGTCAGAGCCATAAGAAAGCGAGTTAAAGTTAACGCGGCGCATGACCCGCCCGCCTACTTGTGTCGATATTTAGGTTATTATGTATTATGTACCATTAAATGTCGTACGTAAGGTTTTGATCTTTTTACATTTTATGATGTCTCGTTCATAGTAAACGTTTGCCTTCGTTCACGTGTAACGCTATGTAAATTAGTATTGAAATGACTTAGAGTAATTCTATTTTAAATTGCAGTATTATGCGTTATCGAAAATAATGAAATTTAGGGAGCGTTGATGTTGTATGAACTATAAAGTATTAAATATACATATATAGTATGACAGCTGTTGCTGTGTTCGCGGGTATCCTGTGCGCGTAATGTCGTGGCCAAATTTCGCTTAACGGATGCGGGCTCGCACACGTCGTCGTGTCTCCGTCTACCTCTACGTAAGACTCATCGGTCTCGTCGTCTATCATTTGCCTCAACCCGAGATGTGTATTTTTGTAAATAATTGTTACGATTTTAACCTATTCTTTACAAGGCGGCAATGCATTTATTGTTATATGTGTAAATGTATAATTTTTGGGAAACTGACAAAATTGATTGACTATGTCGTCGAGTATACGCCATTTGGCCGGTGCCAAAGTGACAAAATTCTGTTCTTTCCTTCCGTTATTGTATTTTTTATTTACTATGTCAGTGTCCCAAAGATATGGAAGGAATGTCGTATTTCGCCCTTTATTATTGAGGGTGCGATTCGTTAATGCTATCTCAACGAAGCATTTTATACTTGTTCTCATTGCCGTTTGCCGATAGTTGTATATTTTGTATTTTCAACAATGTGGGACCCAAATTCACGTTATCAACTCCTATTGAATCTTGTTGTCTAGTTGTCGGTGTTATGCTCTCGTTCATATCACGTTTATGAAGCGGTGGGAAGCGCATCGCCGCGCCGCCGCCGGTTTATCTCAACGCAGTATTTGCTCACGACGCGTTACATCGTATGCAGGATGTACACGTTATTTGCCGTTGATAGAGTCTAAAGATAGAAATATGTAGTGGACAAATATTATGAATATTGCTTGGTGTTTAATATATTTTCTATTATTAAAGAAACAGGTTGTATTATTTTGACGTCATGTTGGTGCTTCTGCTGCGGTGTCCCCGTGGAGCGCATACGTGTCCGAAATGCACTTCAGCTCTGTACGCCTCTGGGCGACAATGCCGTCTTAAAAACGCGCCATTCTCTTTGACGCAACATAAACATGAGTTACCCTGTTCAATTTTGTACTCCCACATTCCAAATTTCACAATGCTTTGTGTATGGATTGTTGAATAAAAGATATTTTAAAATATAATCTTATTTTATTTTGTACCTTAGCCTAGGTCACATACGTACGTCCTAGAAGGTGGATCTGGTCATGCTCTGACCGTGAGCCTGTTGGAACACTGAGTGTCTACGGCGTTAATAAATAAAGATATTTTGAACCATTTTTACATAAATACGAGATAATTACATTTCGTAAAAAAAAACACTCAGTCTTCTCAGAAACCTGTCACGAATAGATTATGTATTACAATATGAAGTACATATTATCTTAACTTGTCGTAATTACAGGCAAACTTAACACGTACAATATAAGTGGACGGGTGCGGTAACCAAAACCAAATGTCTACAATACTGCTGCAGGTATAGTATACATGCATAAATGCATAGTCAAATAAATGAATGTTTCACTTCCTTCTTTCTAGATATACACTCGTCTCTATGCAGCCACTACTGTCGTCGCTGGACGAAACACTTTTAGCTCCACATACGGCTTGTTCTGGTTTTGTAAAGGCGTAGTGGGCTGCACTTCACGATATAACTTGTATGCTATTCAAATTTGCTGTTTACGAAAAATGTCAGAATGTACAGTGTCCTTTTTTTGTTGCTGGTGTACAACAAAAACTTTTTAAATGTTTACTTTTTATCAGTACTTCTCCATGAAACTTCATAAAAATAGGTCTATAAACGAGCGAGTAAAATGGAACGGCACTCTGATAGACGGACAGGACGAAACTAAAATTCCTAAAATTTGACTACGTGACCCTGAAAAGGTACGTGTCGTCTGTACATGTTTCACTATCAGTTAATTTAAAAGTATTTCGATCTCTTCTCGGCAACACGCAACATGCGTACGACTATACGGTATATACGAACACCGATGTTCGGCGACTCTATTGCTATGAATATAAGGTAGCACTATGCTAAATAACGCTCCACCTCCTCCTCGTTATAATACTGACAGTCAAATGCTACATCTTTGACATTATTTTTGTGGAACAGTTCGAAACCGACACATGATGCCATGCAGTGCCAGATTAACTTACAAGCAACCATTTAGGACATCTCGGAGGCACCAAACGCTACTGTAATGAGGAGCCTCGATGCCGCCTCGCGAATAACTTTTAAATTACGAAACAATAAGATACTGTATTTCAAAGTAATATTATTTTATGAATACTTCCTTCCTTGAACGCCAGTGAAATGTGGGTCTAGTAGCTAGGGTCCTCCAACCATCGTGCTCCTAACAAACTTGAACGTTGTTCACAAAAGGTTCAAATTTGCGTTAAGGTGACTTTTCTACTTACTTTCCATTCGACCTCCAATTCGATGCAGTTAAATAAACGTATAAATAAAGTTAATAAAAAAATAGAAACGCTTCGCTCGCGGATATTGTGATCTGTGGACTGGCACAATTTTCTTTTGCCATAAGCGACATCAGGGATCAGTGCTTCTTTATGATCACAAGAGGGTTTCATCTTATATTTTCGGTCCATTACAGGTCCAGCCTTTAGGTTTATTTATAATTGCTACAATCATCGTGTCTCGCAGCATTCGCCTTATCAATCTTACAGAAACAGGTTCCCAGGGTGGAGAAGAGTGCAAAACACGTTACAAGTTTTAAAATGCTTAGGGCATCGAAGTAATTAATCCGACACTGGCTAAATACATAAATAACTTGATGGAAAACGTTTCCACTGATTCAAACCAATTTATTACGTACTTTTAGCGTAACAAATCATGTGGCCGTCTCGTTCCAATGTCAATAGCTTAACATACGAGCGCGCCCGCTCCTAGCATAAATATTTATTTTACTCTGTACAACCTAGACGTAATAATAAGGCACCATTAGACATACGTAATGCACGATCAGTTCTCTGACGAGGTTTTTACTAAAACTACAATCGCCCAAGAGCGCGAGAACTGCGGCTTCATTTAGTGATGCGACGGCCGCCGGTGTCAGGCGACGGCGGGCGCGGGCTGCGGCGGTGCGGGCGGCGGGGGGTGCACGCGCGGCGGGGGCGCGCGCGGCGGCGCCAGCACGCGGTGGGGCACGGACACCGTGCGGCTGCCCACCTGCACACGGACGGCGGGCGTCAGCGAGTCGGCGAGGGCCGCGGGGGCGTCTCCGCGGCGGCGGCGCCAGCGGCGGCCTCGCACCTGCACGGCGACGTGGCCGCGCCGCGCGGCGCCGACGGCCAGCACGGTGTCGCCGGGGCGCAGCCGCAGCGGCTTGGCGCCGCCCTTGGGCGCCTCCTCGGCCCACTCGGCGGCCACGGCGCGCTGCTGCGGGTAGCCCAGCTTCACGCCGCCCGACACCGTGTACGCGCGCGGCGGCGGCAGCGGCGGGGGGCGCTCCTGCGACCGCAACGGCGTCAAATGCGCACAGACACTAGGCGCCATTCGGCATCATGACCCAACTACTGTCGTGTTTCGGTAGGAGTCACAATATGGGTAGCACTACTAAAACATATATTTGATGCTTGGGAAAGGTCGTAGAACGCTATTGGGGTTTTCTGTGACCTCTCAAAGGCACTGGATCATATTACCTTTGTTAAGAAGTTGGAATAGTACGGAGTAAGTGGAAGGGCGTTGGAACTTGTCATATCTTAGCGGTAGAATTCAGAAAGTAGACATAAATGGAATGAATTCTCTGGGTTCTGTGGGAATAATGGGTGTCCCGCAGGGCTCAATACTTGGACCCTTATCTTATTTCTCATTTATATTAATGACCTACCATTCTTTATTAAGGACCTTTGCGAAATAGTATTGGTTGCTGACATCGACGACTCTGGTATCATGACTGTGGCATCGCAGCATCTTTACTCAAATATTTTGTATGCCCGTAAAAATATACATAATTTCGTTAAGAAAAAAGATATCCATAATATTAACCTTAGAACTGAGTTCCAACTCGTGGTACTGTGGAGAATTTACAAAGTGACTTTGTGAAGCGGGCAACTTCGATCGATCCACATAAAGAATGTATAGATAGTTTACAATCCAAACAGAAGCGAATATTTGATAAAAAAGACAGGATTGCTTTGATATATAAAAAGAGGTATGTTACGCGAAGATTAGGGTAGTGAATTGGTTGAGTTGTTTAATTGTATTATGTGCAGATTAAGTATGAATAGGAAAAGGTTGGGTAGGCAGAATCTACTCCATGTGAATAGGATGAAAAAGTTCTTTAGGAGATAATTTAATGTGTTTGTTTCTACTAGGTTAATTAAATTTTTATATTTATTTTTCATGTGGAACCACATTGGCGTTATGAGGAATATTTTAAGAAAAATTAATATTTTCCGGCAATGCAGACTTGGAATGACGGGAGGATGATGATGGAATATCGTAGAAAGATTTAACTTAATTTTTCTTTTTCCCTTTTTTAATTTGATAGATATATTATCCAGTATATGTGCATAGTTCGTGCTCACTCTTCAAGATGAACAACAACTGTCTGCATTCGGGGAAAATATATTTATTTAATTATTAGAAATTCTTCATGTGGTATACTCTCATCCCATATGTGTCTTGGGATATGTTGTTAGCGTTATATGTGGGTTGGTTTTTGTTTGGTTAAAGATAGTAAGTGAAGCTGATGGAACGTGATAGCTGCAAAATGAGGACTAAGGCAGCTGGGAGATCAATAGTGATGTAACCCAGTGATCGTCCGATGGATGTTCAAGCCTGTGTCGTCGTTGTGGCAGCATGCACGTTGGAGATAGCTTAGGTTTAGGGAGTTTAGGGAAATAGTTTTGTAGCAATGTTTAGAAGTTTGATAGGGTCGTTCAGCCAGTTTAGGGTCGATGAAATAAAGTGTTACGAGTTTAGTCTGGTTCCCTAATTAGCTAGGATAGCTAACGAGTAATTATATTTTTATTTGTTTGTTTAGGATGTGATCATGGTCTGTCCTTTTAGATAGGTTTTTGGCAGACCAAAGCCATAGCCTCCTCGGTGGTTACTTGTTGTTGTTGTAAGTTGATAGCTTCCGAGCAGTGTGTGGCTAGCCTGTAGTGAAGGCTGATCACCGATGTAAGTTGCCTATCATAGGTAGAGCACTAGCTAGGGATGTTCACCCCTTCAGCTGTGAGGAAGAGGGATGTAGACTAGGCTGTACTCTATGAGTAGAATCACTGGCTGAGTGAGATTCATAATTAGAATGCTTTGAAAAAGAATGTTAAGAAAATAGAAGATCTTGACATTAATAGTAAGATTATTGATTTGTAACCCTAAACATGTAAAATTGGTAAAATAAACCAAAGTTTTAAAATGATCCCGGTTTTATATTATTAAAAGTACCTCTCGCAATGCGTCTGAGCTACAGCCCTCTATTATAAATGGTGGAGGCGCGGATTCTATTATAAATGGTGGAGGCACGGATCCCAATATGATGGTGATGAAGAACACAACACAACACAAAAAAAATCTTCTAATCATCAAAAAATTCTTATCTTATTTCTCATTTATATTAATGACCTACCATTCTTTATTAA